TGCCTCCAGCTTCAGATTTCACCCACATGGATATAGTTTCTGGGGTGTAAAAGAGTAACATTTTATTGTTGAGGCAAGACACTTCTTTAAAGCTGCCTTTTTACTGATTTAGTTATTTCAAATCATATTAATACAAATTGGGGCAAATTAAGAGTTACAAGTCTGGACTTAAAATCATCTGCCTGCTCTGGTTTGGAAATTTATGCAACTATTTCTGCCTTAATTAAAACTGTGGATATTTTTAAAGCTTAGAATTTATTCTTATCTTATTGTGACAACAATGCAAATCCAACCAGGTACATTAATTGTTCTGTGATACAGATGGAAAAAGATAGAAACTCGGCCTAGCCAGGCTAGATTTGGTTTGTGAGTTGATCGTCTTTTAATAATGGCTCGATTGATGATTGTGTGCCATGTGAAGTAACTGGAATGCTGGATGGTTACATGAAATTGTGGGAAAACTGACACAATGGGGAAAAGGTGCTTGCTGAGCCTATGAACTGCAACCTGTGCAAATATGATGATTCCTCAATTGCAACTTCAGGAACTCAGGATTACTGTGTAAAAAGGAAAATGAATTAATGAAGAAAATAAGATGAATGTAAAAACTACCATCCCCAATGTCCTGAGGGTAGTGCTTCTCCCCGTCTTCTCCGCTCCCCTACCCCGTTGCTAGGAGAAAGATGAGTTAACTCACAGGGACGTGTACATTACCAGCCGGATCCACGTACCTGGCAGCTGCAACGTGTTAAACCTGTAGTTTGTTCTTCCATGTATACACTATAAACAGGAAGGCAAACGTCATCCATTTACACAGAAAAGAAAATTGATGATGAAAAACTCACTGCTTTGCTTAAAAAAAGTCTAAGGTAAAGAATGTGTTGACTCAGAGAGGGCCATTCAAAATCGAAAGTCTTCAATTTTATTGCTATTTCTGTATTAAGGATCCTGAAAGCAAAATTTCTTCAGAATCTGTTGTTTAGACTTTACAACAAAAATAGCCTTGGGGAGCTGCTCGCCTGGAGACGTTTTGTGGTGACCATGGAGATTAATCTTCTTGATGGGAAATCGGCTGTTCACAATACTGCTTCCTTCATTCCCAAAGAAGAGTTTCCATTCCTACCAGGGGATGTTGGCTAGAGCAACGAGCCATTGAGGCCTCCTGATATTCCATCCGGGGTGCAGCCTCCTTGAAGCTGCCTCAAGCCCCCTTCAGTTACTCCTTTATTCCCTTCACTGTTCCAGAGGGTTTTCAAGCGTCTGCAGCTGCACCTCTGTCTCAAGGGCCAGGTCTACTGTCAGCCTCGCCGCTGCAAGGATGGGATTGAAAAGCAAGACCATTCATTTACCCATTCGTTCACAAATTTATTGAACTGATATTTAAGCTCAGAATTTATTCTTTCCTCATTCTCACAAGAATGCAAATCCCTACTACATTCCAGACTCTAGGTGGGGGCACAGGTGACACACTACTGAGCTGAAATAGATCCCATCCCAGGACTAATAGACCTTACAGTCTGGGCGAGAGAGGGGTTAATCAAATAACTACATTGATGAATGTATATTTTCAAACTGAGGTATTAAAAATAACAAACCCAGCCTGGGCAACATGACAAAACCTCATCTCTACAAAACAATTAGTTGGGCATGGTGGTGCACACCCATAGTCCTAGCTACTCCGGAGGCTGATGTGGGAGGATCACCTGAGCCCGGGGGTTCGAGGCTGCAGTGAGCCATGATTGTGCCACTGCACTCTAGCCTGGGTGACAGAGTGAGTCTCTGCCTCAAAAAAAAAAAAAAAAAAAAAGAAAAGAAAAGAAAAAAGAAAAATAACAAAGGAACTGGACCTAGACTAAAGATACTCCAAGGAAGCCGTATTTAGCCATACTTAGAAGGCTTTGCAGATAAAATGTGTGAATATGTGAAGCAGAGAGCATTATAGGCATGAGTCCCGTGGCTGAAAGAAGGACGGCTGAAACACAGGAGGGAAAGGCCGGTGCCTCAGGAGGCGAGAGGCACCACGCCAAACCACGTGGAGGTTCAAGATCTTGTAAAGAATTTCGGTCTTTATCATGAAAGCAAAGGGGAAGTTACTGATGGGTTCTTAGGTGGAGGTGACCTGAGGAGGGTTGTGTTTTAAAAAGAAAGCCTTGGCTTTGGGAGGGAAAAGAGCTGGAGAGATGCCAGAGGGGTGGGAGGAACATTCCGGTTTGGAACCTCAAAGCAGTTTAGTTACATATCCAACATTCCTTCACCGTTGCCTCACTCCTGAACACTGTCCATTGCATGTCTGAGTCTTCCTCCAGACTCTACATTCCTTTAGTTTAGGAATGCTGACATATTTGCTTTTGGATCCCATGTAGTGTCTGACCCTGGGATTTGCACGTATGTCCAGCAAATGCTGTCTTTAAACAATGCGGCTCTTCCCCATCTCACAAGTCATGTCAGTTGGCGTAAAGGAACATAGCTCTTCTGTATTCCAGTGATAAGATTATATAGTGATCTAATTTATTCCTGAGGACAGACGGGGTTAGAGATACACTTGCCTTTTCTTTTGCTGTCATCTGTGTCTTGCATTTTATTTCCATACATTAATATCTTCAATATAATGATCTTTGTTGTCCTGTCTTCATGTCAACCTAAAGCATTGTTATTGTCATTATCGTTACTACCTCCTCACAAATATATAGATATATTGGGGGAGGGTTTTGCTGAGAGAAATCTGCAGATTTGAAAAGAAACCATGTCACACATTTCTGAGTCTGAAAATCAGGAGTTACAAACATAAATGAGTAAAGCAGCAGTAGGGAATGGCGCAGCCTGTGGCAGAACTAGAGGGAGCATGCTCTATCCCAAAGCATTCACATTCGAACACAAATATACTGTGCTAGGTAAACCAGACATCTGGGGGCAAATGTGGCTTAGTAACTATGGGTTTGTTGTTTCTTCTTTAATTGATTAAAAAAAAAGATTTAAATACAGAGAATTTATAAAAATTTTCAGTGTAATTAGGGGTTGTGGGCCAAGCTTTATTGAGTGACGTGAAGCCTCAAAGTTGTTTTGGGGAAGGGAGCAGGACCAAAATGCCTCCTTAGTGCAACTTTTTCAAAAAAACCTTGTGAAGCCGGCTTCTAATATTCCTCTGGCTACTTGCTCTCTCTCTCTCTCTAATGGGCTGCTGCAGTTTCTCCTGTGCCTCAGTCAAATGAATACATCGCATAAATGAAGGTATAAACTGCGTAAGTTTACAGAAAGGAAGAAGGTTATTATTACCTTTGAAATCAGAAGCCAAGAAAACATCTCACACATCCTCATCTCTTCTCTTACTTTCTGGGCAAGTCCCCAGGGGGGACTAATTTTATTAGAGACTCTCCCTCAAAGTAAAAAATGAGGGGGGTATAAATAGCCCTGATCCTGCTCCCACCTGATCCTTAGATTAAGATTAGCGGAAGCTCAGGCTGAGAGGTCACCACAAGAATGTAGTTTTCTGGGGTGAATAGTCACTTAAATCAGACACTCAGGAATCTCATGCAAAGAATGTTTAGTTAACATATTTCCAGGAAAAACATGATTCCAACTTCTTATACCAAGAACCAACAGCCTTAGCGATTTTGTAGAAGGGAGAATCCTTTCCATTGCAGAAATTGGGCCCGTGGGATGGATGAAGCAGAAATGAGCAGAACAACAGGATTAATTGAGATCACTTTGCTGCTACGTTCTGCAATTTTATTACTCCTCCTAAAATGCAATGGAGAGTCTCTCAAACTGGCAACGGTGACTTTTGTTAGTATTCTGAGCCCTTCAGCAAAATATATCCTCTTTGGGCTGATTTATACCATGAGGATAATAGAAATATATCCCTTACACATTTTAGTGGGCTGTTGTGAAGAGAAAATTAGATTATGTATGGCAAGGAACTTCACAATGACAAGATAATGTGTTGTAATAATAATATTAAAGATAATTATAGGAAACACATAGCACTTGCTATTTGCCAGGCACTGTTCTAAGCATTTACATTCATTGTTTTATTTAGTTCTGATAATAACCTTCCGTTTGGGCTAGAATCTATTGTTATCTCTAATTTTTAGATGGAAAAACAAAGCCAGAGAGAACTGAAGTAACTTGCCCAATCCCAGACAGTAAGAATTGGTACTAGGATTTGCACCCATGCAGTCTGGCTCCTCTTAATCACTATGATTTAGGAATAAAAACAAAAAAACAAAAACATAGACTTTTAAGTAAACCAAAAGACTAGCATTTGAATCCTGGCTTCACAGGCCATATAACTATGGAGACAGTCTTCTTAAGCAGTCTTAAGTCTGCTTAAGTGTTTGGTCAGGATTAAATGAGAAAACATGCAAAGCGTATTGTTTAATAGGAGGCACATAGTGTATTATTATTATTAGTTATTGTGGGTGAGATGGTATATTAGTCTTGTCAGACTGCCATAGCAAAATATCCACAGACTGGCTGGCTTAAACAACAGAAATTTATTTTCTGACAGTCCTGTAGGCTAGAAGTTCAAGACCAAGGTGGCAGCAGGGTTGGTTTCTGGTGAGGCCTCTCTTCCCGGCTTGCAGGCGGCAGCCTTCTCACTGTGCTCTCATATGGCCTTTCCTCTGTGCAGAGGAGAGAAAGAGGGCTCTGGTGTCTCTTCCTCTTTTCATAAAGATGACAGTCCTATTGGATTAGAGCTCCACCCTTATAACTTAATTTAACCCTAATTACCTCCTTAATACAGTCACATTGGATGTTAGACCTTCAACATATTAATTTTGGGTGAATACAATTCAGCCCATAACAGGTGGGTAGCTGGGAGGAGAGGAATAGAAGGATAGAAGGGGTATTTTAATGTCTAAGGTAGATTTTTTTTTAAAGGCATCGCTGCTGGAGGAAAAAAACCATCTGATATTCATAATACATTTGTAGGTATACAATGTATTTGGCACTGTATGTCATAGAAAACATCTCCAAACTATCTATTGTTAATCTTTCAGGTGAGCCTGAATTTAAATACATTGGGAATATGCATGGGAATGAGGCTGTTGGACGGGAACTGCTCATTTTCTTGGCACAGTACCTATGCAATGAATACCAGAAGGGGAACGAGACAATTGTCAACCTGATCCACAGTACCCGCATTCATATCATGCCTTCCCTGAACCCAGATGGCTTTGAGAAGGCAGCGTCTCAGGTGAGTGCCAGGCAGCTCAGATCAGGCGTGCTTTCTTCATTTTCTGTATGTTTGTACATACATGTTTATCTAAAAATTATGCCCTCGCACAAAGCTTAAAGATGGTGCAGTGGAGGGCATAAGTGATGCATTCATTATTCAACTCACTGGTAAGAAAACAGCTAAGAATGAAAGGGGTGATGGGCAAATTTTTCCAGTAAAGACTGCAAATCAGAAATTGTGTTAAGAAGTTAATGTTCAAATAGTGTTCTGTTTTATGTTTTTCAATAAATTATTATTACACTTTTTTGACTAGCTAAGTTTTCTTTTAAAAATCTACAAATATGAAAAATACTGCTGTTTGTTGAAGAGTAACGCCATGGGTGTATGTGGGTGAGCTAGTGTCACAGCGCCCTCTACTGAATTTAAGGAAGAAATACTTTTGGCCAGAATAATGTTTTACTGATGTTTACTTGGTTTTTACATATGCTCAGTAAAGTTAAAAAACAAACAAGCGAAAACCCTATCTCTTAACTAAAAATAATTTAATATATCTTAGCTGTTAGATGAACTGGAAAGTAATACCTTTTTAAGAGAAGATATATGGTGTTTGTTCCTATTTTATTGGACAGGGGTGGGGAACATTATATATGCTGCTTTCTACAGTTTAAAATAATTTTCTTAGTCTATGGGAACATGAGAACACATTCAAGTTAATATTTAGTATGTTTATCTACAGTTAAAAAGATCCAATGACATAGTTTGACATTGTAAGAAACTCAGCGAATTTCTGTAAATAGATATAAAATTGATACGATTTCTAAAGTTTTATGAGAGAAAAATTCTAGTAATATATAAAATTAAATTATTTAAAATTTTAAGGTAATATTCAGAAGTTTTAGACATATAGGCAACAGATTATCATTGCTATTTTCTGTCTTATAGATTTTTATTCCTCGCAGTCTAAGATATCTAAGCTTCCATGACTTAAAAAATGTGGAAATATGTCTATATCATGTGATATAATTTAACAGTAAAACAAGAAAATTCACATTATAAAATAAAACAAATATCTTGGAATAATTTTCCAGATTGTACCATTAGATAAATGAAGGGTTTAAACTGGAGAGAAATTCCTCAAACCATAAAGCCCTAGAATTTTGTTCTAAGCTCATATTTTTCCATGAAGACTATAAGAGGGAGACATGTTATTAGTCCATAATGCATGTTAAATTCATTTTAAGCTTCTAATCTTTAGTTATTTATTCTTCTAAATATTTAAAAAATAGGTTGCTGTGATTTACAGAGGCAATGAATATTTTACTTAAATCTAATTATAGAATGATGTGCTTTGAAATAGGTCATTTATAACTAGTGAATATATATTGTGAAATTTGATGATAAATATCTCTTTATTATTTTTAACATTTAAAATATTATTCATCAAACATATTTTCAAAATACCTATAACAAGTACAGTGATGCATCTCTCAATAATGGGGAAGTGTTCTGAGAAATGCAATGTTAGGTGATTTTGTTGTTTTGTGAACATTCTAGAGTGCACCTACATAAACCTGCATGGTGTAGCCTACTACACACCTAGGCTATGTGATATAGCCCACGGTTCCTAGGCTACAAGTCTGTACAGCATGTTACTGTACTGAATACTGTAGACAACCGCAACATACTAGTAACTATTTGTATATCTAAACATAGAAAAGGTACAGTGAAAATACGGCATAAAAGATAAAAACAGTACCCTTGGATAGGGCTCTTACCATAAATGGAGCTGGAAGTTGCTCTGGGTGAGTCAGTGAGTGAGTGGTGAGTGAATGTGAAGGCCTAGGGCACCACTGTACACTACTATAGAATTTATAAACACTGTACACTCAGGCTACACTAAATTTATAAAAAATATTTTTCTTCCTTCAATGATAAATTAAACTTATCTTACTGTAACTTTTTGTTTGTTTGTTTGTTTTGAGATGGAGTCTCACTCTGTCACCAGATTGGAGTGCAATGGCATGATCTCGGCTCACTGCGCCCTCCGACTTCCTGGTTCAAGCTATTCTCCTGCCTCAGCATTGTATTTTTTAGTAGAGACGGGGTTTCACCATGTTGGCCAGTATGGTCTTGATCTCCTGACCTCGTGATCCACCCGCCTTGGCCTCCCAAAGTGCTGATATTACAGCCGTGAGCCACCGCACCTGGTCACCTTACTGTAACTTTTTTACTTTATAAACTTTTAAACTTTAAAAACCTTTTGGACTCTTTGTAATAACACTTAGCTTGAAACACACAATACATTGTAGAGCCGTCCACAAATCTTTTGTCTTTATATCCTTGTTCTACAAGCTTTTTTTCTATTTTAAAAACTTTTAAGAGTTTCTTAGTTTTTCAACTGTTTTGTTAAAAATGAGACACAGGCTGTGTGCAGTGGTTTCTATCTGTAATACCAGTGCTTTGGGAGGCCCAGAGGAGAGGATTGCTTAAGGCCAGGAGTTTGAGACCATCCTGAGCAACATAGTGAGACCCTGTCTTTAGCAAAAATAAAAAATAAAAACTTAGCCTAGCATGGTTGTGCACACCTGTAGTCCCAGTGCTTTGGGAGGCCAAGGAAGGAGGATCACTTGAACCCAGGAGTTTGAGGTTACAGTTAGCTGTGATTGTGCCATTGCACCCAAGCCTGGGCAACAGAGTGAGACCCTGTCTCTTAGGAAAAAAAAAAAAGAAACTAAGATACAAACACGCATATCAGACTAGGCCTACACAGGGTCACGATCATCAAAATGTCACTAGGCAATAGGAATTTTTCACCTCCATTATAATCTTATGGGATCACTGTTGTATAGTCTGTCAGTCGTGGTAAGAAATGTCATGATGCGGCCCATCACTGTACTTTAAATTTGATATCTTCATGTTTATATAAGTAAAGTAGTAAAAATGCTGATATGGGAGGGCATTGTTGAAATAAATAATCTTAATAGTTATTTTAAAGAGCATTGATAGAGACCTTAAATAGAAAGTGACAATAATAATAAGCAACTGATGATTTTTTCTCTTTGACTTTTTTTTTTTAGCCTGGTGAACTCAAAGACTGGTTTGTGGGTCGAAGCAATGCCCAGGGAATAGATCTGAACCGGAACTTTCCAGACCTGGATAGGATAGTGTACGTGAATGAGAAAGAAGGTGGTCCAAATAATCATCTGTTGAAAAATATGAAGAAAATTGTGGATCAAAACACAAAGGTAGTGACCACGGGATAGTCTTCTTGGGTTAATCTCTAGCCTAAGGAAATATGTTCCAATATCTTCATCATCGTGAAGGACAGAGGAGTAACATCACAGCTCATATGGAGTGGTTAACTGTGGCTTTGAAAGTCAAGGCTGGAAGGGCTGGTGCCATGAGATTAGTCCTGGCCCCTAGAATTGGGCCGTAGGTGGAGAGGAGTTGGAGGTGTAGATATAGGGAGGAACCCAGTTGTAGGTTTCTTAGAAAGTCACCATGGCCTTCTCAGAGACCCTTTATTAGCTCATCTGATCAGCTCCTCCTGCCAGATTTACACTGTTGCTCTTTTTCTCTTTTCCAGAACTTTCTCCTCCCTTGCTTTACAAAACTCTACTTTCTCCTACCTCTTCTACTGCCTTTCAAATCACTACTCAGTTTTTTTCCCTGTTTCTTCTACCTGGGCTTAAATGCTGGCCATCGTTGGGGTCTCATCTGATACCTTTATCTGCTTCCCTGGGCTTCCCTCCTTACCTCAACTTTCAGCGTTGTCTGTTACACAAGGTCTCCCAGATCCGTGCCTCTAACTCCAGACTTTCCACAGAGCTTTATGTCTCTGTTTTACTAGCTAACTTGGGTTCCTTTAACTGGTGGAACTTGAAACCTCAAGCTCAGGTTGTCCAGAAACAAATATTTTCCCTTGGAACCACTATTCTTTCATTTATCCCAATCATCAAAGCTTTTGATTTTTCCATCTCTGTCACTCCTCACCAGTTACCACTGCTCAGTGGTTTGATCTCTCTGACACCTCTTCCATTTCCCTTCCTCTGCAAACTCATTCCCCTGCCTCAGCTCAGGCCCCCATGGTCTCCTGCTGTGACTGGCTCAGTGGCCTCTTACTCGTGTTTCATGTCCAGCCTCTCCCAACTCTATTCTATCTTCTCAAATTCTCAATCTTTCAGAGCGATGTTCACACACAAATTATTGCTCTTTTGCTTAAAAAACCTTACCAGCTCTCCACTGCCCAGAAGATAAAGTGAAAACTCAATGTGATGGTTAAGTATGGAGACTCTAGAGGTAGCCACTCTAGAGGTAAATCATGGCTTCATACTTGTTGTGTGAACTTTGTAAAGTTATTTGACCTCTCTGTGCTTCAGATTCTTCATCTGTAATATGGAAGTGATAATATCTACCTCATAGGATAAGGATTGAATGACTTAATACACATAAAATACTTGAGGCCAGGACCTGGAACTTTTATTAACATTTCAGTGTAATTTTTTGGTACTCTCTGTTATGTAGCTGAGGGCTAGGTGGACACATTTACATATGCACTCAACATTTGGTGCATCTTTCAACCAATATTGTTGTCAATTACTTGGAGGAGAAATTGAGCCCATCTTGGAGGAAAGGTGAAGAACTGCTGTCAGCAGCCCTCTGTTCCTTCTCTATTCTTCTGGGTATTTCTGTTCTCATGTGTCCACGACGTCTAGTGTCTTTCCTAAGTGACAGCTCACAAAGTACAATTTCTCCACTTTATTCTAGTCGCTGGGTCATTTCAGCGCCCCTTGGTCCCTGGAAGCTGCCAGCTGGTTTATTCCTTAACCTGGCTTTGATACCCTATAGACTTCACTCATACCAACTCCTCTGTGCTTCTAAACATACCATTTTCTAACAATTTTATGTCTTCAGATGAGTTGCTGCTCCAACTATCTAGAATTGTCTTCTCTTTCCTTCCATGCCAATCCCTCTGTGAAGTCATCCTCTACTCTTCAAGACAGATTCCTTTTTTTTTCTATGTTCTTCATCTATACTTCCAGTATGGGCTTATTGTTACATCCAGCTTTATATATGTTATTAGTTTACACAGCTGTTTTCTCCTTTGATTCTAGAATTTGATCACTTGATTGTAAGAATTATGATTAATATTTGATTATGACACACAGTAGGCTAGGGCCTGTTGTGAATAAACACAATCCAGCTCAGCAAACAAATCATAATATCTGAAAAAGAGGGCCACTGCAAGTAAGCAGCCAGGGATCCACACAAGTGTTCATCATGGGATTGGGATGATGGATAAAGGATCCAGGAGACAGAGAGTCTTAGATTATTGGACTAAACTTTTAAAAACTCCCCAGCCTATATATAGAATTCATTCCAGAAACATGGGCTGAGCCTACAGGTGGGGGCTGGCCTTCTTAGTGGTGGCAAATTCATACAGGTCTGCAGCAACCTCAATTCTTGCCTCCTCAGAAGAATTCGACCAAGAAGCATAAGGCAGAATGAGAGACTAAAGCAAGTTTTAGAGCAGGAGTGAAAGTTTACTAAAAAGTTAACAGCATGAATGAAAGGAGGTAAAGTACACTTGGAAGAGGGCCAAGCAAGGCAACTTGAGAGATCAAGTGCACTGTTTCTTGTTTGGTTTTTTTTTTTTGCTTTATTAAAATACTGAGTTTTATTTCACATGTATATTTTTGTCTCCCCACTATTTCCATGTCTGACCACTGCTACTACTATGTCCTATCATAACATTCCATACATACTTAAAACCAAGCAAAGGGTGGAGTTCCATCTTTAAAAACTAAACAGGCATTTTGGACAACACATTCTTGGCAATGGAACCTGGACAACATTTATCAAACACGGTAGGGAAAGTTCTCACTCTGCATTATAAAAAGGACAGCCAGATATCAACTGTTACAGAAATGAAATAAGACGGAAAAATTTTAACAAATTGTTTAAACTATTTTCTTAAAGAGACTTCCTCACTGCCAGAGATCTTGAATAGCCTCTTGGTCAGTCATCTGGAAGCAATTCTTCACATAATTGATGAACTTAGCTTACACTTTGGGAACACAACCAACTTTTTCTATACTTGCTTACATTTTTGCTTTAATGTCTTCTAAGAACTAGGTCCTTTTGGTGTTTTAGGAGTCCTTTCCTGTTTTTTGAAGGATTCTTGTCCTTTTGATCTTGGTGTTGATGATGGTTTTGAGTCTTTTCCATTCTGATTTGACTTTTGTGCATTTTTGGCTGGAGTATCTCATATAGATTTCTTCACTGGTGCTTTTTCTTCAGCTTCCTCCTCATCATCATCTTCATCATCATCATCATCTTCATCATCATCATCATCATTATCATCTTCATCAGCAGCAAGTTTTACTTTTTTCTATGGAACTTTGCTACCATCTCGAAGGGCAGATTGCTTTCCAGATATACTTAAGAGTTTCACATCCTCCTCCTCTTCGTCTTCTGACTCCTCATCTTCCTCCACAGCTACTAAGTGCTGTCCACTAATATGCACTGGCCCTGAACCACACTTCAACCTTAAGACCACTGGTGGTGTTATTTCAAAGCCCCCAAGGGAAACCGTTGGCTCTACAGACATTTTCAAAGTTGCCAGTGTTACTTTTATTGGACTGCCTTCGTAATTCATTGCCTCTGCTTCAACAATGTGCAATTCATCCTTTGCACCAGCCCCTAAACTGACCATTCTTAAAGATAACTGGTGCTCATTTTCATCATTATCCACCTTAAAGTGATCATCTTTGTCGGCCTTTAGTTCACAACCGAAAAGATAGTTCTGGGGCCTCAAGGGGGTCATGTCCATGTCCATCGAATCTCCCATCAGGTGGCGGCACACACTTAGGTGGGAGAGAAGGCGGGCGGAGATAAACGAATGCTGCTCCAGAGAACAGCTGCGCAGGATGGAATCACACCAGGGCTCAAGTGCACTGTTTGACCTTTGACTTGGGATTTTATACATTGGCATGTTTCCAAGGGAGTGGGGGGCTTGTTTCTCTTTCCCTCTGATTCTCCTCTTGGGCTGGGCTGTCCACATGCATGGTGGCCTCCCAGCACTTGGTAGGCACTATATTCACAGTGTGATTACTGAAGTTGTATGCATGCCCACTTGAGTTGTTCTTCCCTTACCAGTTGAGTGTTCCTACAAAGTCACATACCAGTTAATCCCTGCCATTTTGCCTCTTAATATGCTTGAGCCCACTTGCCCAATTCCTGCCATCTTATCAGGAAGCTGATCACCAGTTTTAGGCTTTTCTGTCTGTTGGGGGACTGCCTTTCCCTGGCACCTGCTGCAATGAATTATTATGTTACAGAGGCAGTTTAACAACTGCCTGACTATCACCTGATGGTTGACTGACATTCCTGGTGGTCAGAGGGCACTCTCTTGCCCTGCTCATGTCTGACTACCTACCTGCCACAACATTTTCCCCCTCAAGAGTCCAAGTCCTCAATTACTTGGGGAAAATGGATAAATGTCAGTCTTCTGTAACTGCTTCCTGCTGATAGAGGGGTGGTGGTGGTTTTTTTGTGGGTCTTCACCTCTTGCTAGCTGTCAGGGTAGGATGGCTCCATGGGTTGGTGAAAACAGTATCCAGCCATGCCTGAGGGAGACAGGGGTGGGATTTTGCCTCTGTCATGTCTCATTGATGGGAAGTCTAGGGGTCCTTTGTAGAAGGGTGACTCTTGAATACTGACAGGATGGTATCTTTCACTGAGGATCATCTGGAGCTTGATGGCCTGAAGGCAAGAGGAGACAAATCAGTTTATTAGATTTAGAAGAATGTCAAAATGAAATAAGGGGGTGAGGACAACTCCAAAAAATCCCGAGGCTGCCAACATGCTCAGGTAACTGGTGGCTATTGTCATGCCTGCTAAGACTTGAGTGGATGGGCTTACTAGCCAATTCCAATGTATTCCTAGAATTAGAATATTTATCCAGAGTTTTACATTACCTATTCCTCTTGTTTCTTCTGAGCTGCGGCCAGAGATCACTGGTTGGTTCACAGGAATAAGCAGGATTAGTCTAAATTGCAGATAAAAACTCAAAAACAACTGCTGAGAATATAATCTAATACCAAGTTATTAGATTATAATCTGTTATGTTCTTGAAATATAACTTTTCTCTCTCCAGTCCTCATTTTTATTAAAAACAAATCATGATAGGACCAATTTGTTTGCAAAATAAGCTTTGGTCTTATCATACTTGATCTGATTATTT